TTCAAATCTTTAAAATGTAGCAATTTAGTCCCAATCTTTTAAAAAATATGCAGTAGAAGGGCCTGCGGGTAGTTTTCGTCCAAAGACACGTTGGACAAATAAAATGTCATCATTTGACCTGCATTTAATCATTTTAATGAAGGGCAACATAGTTTTTAACATTTAATTAATTAAAATAATTTTAAAAAAATAAGAAAAAAAGGAAAACAATGATCTTTCACCCCACGTCACACCACAACTCATGTCCAACCATCACCACCACAAATCCAATAATGAACGCTGCCCACACTGACACTGCCATCATCTTTCCTCTACTCCACACAAACCCAAGGCACACCCACACGCCAACGTGAAATCTAGGGTGAGAGGAAAACCAGGGAGGATCTTCCTGGTTTGGCGACCAATCGAAGGAGGGAATTTCTCCTCTTGATTTTCGACCCAAAGAATATATCTTGTTAAAATTTTATTTAAGAATAATTCAGCTAATAATATCTTAGTGAAAGAAAAGAGCACATTATTCTTTTGTGTACATGTATTTTAATAAAATAAGTGCCAATTGATCCTAAGAGATAATGAATACATGTATAATAGACATCTCTATAATATATCTCCGTATAGCTACTTTTCAATTCTATCTCATTTCCATAATGACATAATTTATCGAGATCGTTTCATTTTAAATACTTCCTCCTCTCGGTTTTTCAATTTTTTTTATTTCAATATTCTCTTCAAGAGTATGTGCCTTCTCAATGACCATCTTTCTTATATGCTCATTTTTCTTTTAGGGATTTTTATCTTTAAAATTGATTGTTACTGAGCATCCTTCTATGACGTTAATCTGATATAAGATGGTACTTAGGTCAGTAAATGACTTAATGCATCTTGTAATTTTATAAGTCACAAATATATTATCTTTTGAACTTTTAGTTCAGATTGTATTGCACGATGATTTAACACAATAATGGCTCGTTCTTATATTCGTTTTAGTTACTTAATTACTTCTTCGAATGCTGAGAATAAAGTCTTATACAATTGATAGTTGATATATCATATTGTAAATTATAAAATAGTTTGCAATTAAAAGATGTTCAAACCCATTACATATTCCCAGCATTCATTGAAGACCTGTATTATTGCAATGTGGCGGAGCAGTTAGAATATGTATTGCACAATCAAGAATCCTTAAATGGGAAATATTGGGTTTGTGTCCATCGCCAACTAGAATGGAGAAAAATTGATATTGGCATGATTCATACTAGTATTGCTTACTAAGAAGAATTAGAAAGTATTCTGTTATCAATAGTATTGATTTAGCAATTAGTTGAAGGCATTAACTAACATTTCTACTAGACCATGGTCAAAAACTGCTCTATCATCATTCATCATCCAAACTGTCTCATACAATAATTATTAAAAGTATAGGATGTTAACTTACTAGCAATATCATAACAAGTATTCTTGTTTGCCTAATCTAGAAATTGTACTCGTAATCAAAATATTTGAGTGATTATCTTGGTGATTTCAGGTTGCATGTAGATACTAACACTACGTGAACATCAAGGTGATGCATCTATTAAAAATTATAAAGTTTTATATATGGTCCATATGGAGGGTGAGTAGACCTACAAATTTAGGCTTGAAAACATTCCAGAAATTTGAAAACAATAATGCTTTATAATTCACTTTTTGTTTGTTTTTCCTCTCATAACGTAAAAAGGCAGGTAAATTTGATGCTTATATGCTCCAAAATCGTGACATTATTTGAGAGGGAAATGTAATGTTGTTTGTGTATTTTGTAGGTTTTGTTTGTATGTGGGTTTTCGTGGATTTTCCATAAAAGGGCAAGCATGGGAGTCAAGTATGATTTGCGGGTAGGTTTAGCTTGTGAATTGTGTTGGCCAATAACTGGTGTGCACGCGTGTGTTTTGTGAAGCTTTTCACTATAATTAATGCTGTAATATTATAGACAAGTTTTAAGAAATGCCCAGGGTCTATTTGTGGAATGACTTATTTTCGAATTTAGGGAGTAGAAATCCCCTGTTATCTTTGAATTCAGGTTGGATATCCAGTTATGAATGAAGTTGAATGCCTTGAAAGTTTGATTTTCAAAGCCGTATTTATTTCAAGAAGCAATAAATAATTCCATAGCTGCTATGGTTTAATTTAAAAGAAATTCTTGATTCTTAGTCTTGAATTCTCTCTCTCTCTCTCTCTCTCTCTCTCTCTCTCTCTATATATATATATATATATATGGTTTTGAATTCGATTAAGATCATCTTTAAATAATCCCTTTGAATCTGCAAGTGTGGAGATATATATATGGTTTATTAAGATACTTCGAACATGTTAATATAATTGCTTGTGGTAGTGAGAATGATCAAATTATTATGTTTTCAGCAACACAAAATGCCAGGAAAGAACTCCGGAGTTTGCCATAGTTGCTGGAGTGTTGGACACTTCTTTGACGATTGTCCAATAAAACGTCCTTAGTTCGTCAGGGAAAATCTCCTGTCGAAGTGAAAGCGAAGGGAACGGAGACGGCTTGAGTAGTGGTTAATGAATTGCTATCTATGTAGGCAGTAGCTTTTCAAATATTTATGCGTATAATGTATGACATTTTGTGTTGTCTTCGATGGTTGGTAATTGGTAATATCAGTACTTTGTATCTTGGTGCTTATTTTTGCTTGCAAAATCAGTTTATTACTTGCTTTACACCAATGGCATCTCTTAATTTTTCTTTTCTTCACGTTCCCTGGGAGATAACAGTGAGATTATCTCCACCAATTTAAATTCACTTGATGGACAACGAGATAACAACCTGCATTGTACCAATTGGGAGTGGTTCAATATTGACTGAGACTAGAATTCCTTTGTGAAAACAAGCTCAAGTTCAAATCCACCCCTAATTTCACGCATAGAACACCATTTTGGTTGCTAAATTCCTGCGAGCTCAAAGGCAAAGGGAATACTTATTGGAACATAAATGCAATACTCACACCCACACAAATGCAATACTCATTGGCATATAAATGCAAACAAAACTGAAGCTATAAACAAAAGGAGGGTTCTTTGCAACAAGGGAGAGTTCATCACACTATGATGACCAACAAAAGTAATTATCATACACATCTCGTAGTCGAATACTAAAATAATTCTTTAACAAATTACACCTAAACAACTTATCATAACAATTTTCTCATTTAGCAGCCCATACATCTATATATAAAAAACCAACTGCATCCACTTTGTTGTTCTGTTTGCTTGAATTCAATTGGTCCCACCATGATGCGGTAAATATGGACCTAACGTGCAAACTAGAATTAATGAACGAAGAGGAAGTATTGAAATTCAAATGTTGTTATTTAAAAATTTATATACCTTGTGAATTGAAAATAACATTTGTGGTCATAGGAGGAATCAAAGTAGAAGACGGCACTTGTTGTGTAAATTCATGGCTCGCCCCGTCGGCCTATATCAATTCACAGGCAGTAAAACAGCTGAAAGTGCTTAAGACAGGCTATAACAAATATACTAACCAATAGGAGTTGTGAATATGAGAATGACATCGTCATAGCATGTTGTTGACGAGGAGGTGGAACCTCGGGGACACCATCGCCCATGCTACTTTGTCTCGGTGTTTGTCTCTTTCCTTTGATTCGATCCGATCGTACCTATATATACACCATAACAAATATTACTTAGTGTATAAAATAAAATAGATAAAATAGAGTAAAGCTAAAGAATATACCTTTGATTTCTTAGCGCTCACCTCCAATGAGCCTTTTATTCATTTTCTCTTTGGCGCCCCCTTTCTTTTTGATGATTTCGGATCCTTGACGCTCCCGCTCATAGGATCTTGAGGTACAGTACGCTGGGATATATTATTACTACCTGGACTCGGCTTTACCAAACTAAGCTCTTTATTTTGAATTTCTATCCAATCCATGATTGCACGATATCGCCCTTCATCATCAGCTGCAAGGTCTACCACTTTGGAGAATGCCTGACACATGTCATCATACCTCAATTGTCCGAGAGTACTAGCCAACCCATCATATGTGCTCTGTTGACGTCTCTCCTCCATCTCCACAATATGTATCGATCCTGTATAACAGTTACGTCATTACGAATTAACACTGCGATCGCATGCCTGCATACTATTCCTCGGAACTCGAACAAGTGACAACTACAAATAATCTCACATTTCTCTGTATTGAATGAGACTACAAATATTTTTTTCTTTAGTTGATCACCAAATAAAATGTCTTCACACACCTCTTACGTCGTCCCCATATGTCCTTCCGAAGCGGATAAGAGGTCGCAATACACCTTTCCTATACATTCACCTTGAACTTTCCTGAACTTCGAAATGGTGTACACTTTCTGATATTGTTTTTCCATTTCGTAAGTTGTTGCACACGGTACCATCTGAGAGAAAGACTTGAAATCAGCTTGGAATTCCTTTTCAACCTTACTCTGCATTGCCCCTTCATACTGCTCAACAAATTGTTTCAATGGTGTCTTCGAATGCACATAACCATCAAAGAAGGCATTTACACTCTCACTTCTTTGCGTCGTTGACATCCCAGCCTAAAAAGTCATTTTCAAGAAACACGGAACCCAACGGCCTCTATTCTCATACAACTCCGACAACCAATAGTTCTCATGCAAGTCATATGTATCAATCATCAATTTTCAACCATCCTCAAATTCTTCGACGAACTGTGAATCATACACTAAAGTGTTTATAGCCGAAAATATCGAAGACTTATCCACATGGTATCCAAACTTTTCTGGCAACTTTTTCAAATGTGCCACAAGCACCATCTATGTCTCGTATTTGGAAAGACTATCTGAATTGCATTCTACATGGCTCTGTCTTGGTCAGTAATTATTCCATGTAAAGCTAGGCCATGCATGCATTGAAGCCATGTTCTGAACAACCATACAAATGTATCTGTGTCCTCATTCGATACCAAACCACAACCCAGCAACGTTGACTATCCATGATGATTCACGCCAACAAAAGGGGCGAATGGCATGTCATACTTATTAGTAAGGTAAGTTGTATCAAATGTGACAACGTCCCCAAACTCCTTGTATGCTTGCCTACATCGATTGTCTGCCCAGAACACATTTTTAGATGCGAATCGTCATCTAAGTCAATACTAAAATAACATACCGAGCACCTTGCTTGCATTTTAGAAAAGTAAGACTGAATTGCTGCTGCATCACCCTCGCCAAGTCTTAGTCGTCTCACTTGTTCAATATAGTTTCGACAATCTTTTTTTTATGCAAGTCATATTCTCATAGCCTCCTGCTTCGACAACTGCGGAGTTAAAACTTTTATGAAATGGTATACCAGCCATATCGTTCACTTCAAGGTTTCGTTTCACTTGTGCACTTAATTCTTGATTGCATCGATACAACCTTGACTTAGTAGGACTTGTCTTATGGTTGTGGTCAAGATGGACTGTGTTAATTTTCCAGTAACCATGGATATCGAAAGATGCAGAGATTCTAGCTTTACAACCCGTTTGAATTGTTGGTTGCAGCTTCAAAGAAGTGCTTGTATCACTGTTTCTTCGTCCTTCCCGACTATATGTCAATGTGACATATCTCAAAACACCATCATCATCCTTCGTCGAACTCCTCTTCCTACTTGGAAAACCCATGGCATATGCATATCTTGCATAAAAATCGTACACTTCTTTTTCATCATTGAACTGCATACCAACCTCAGGCACAATACAATCATCTCTTCCTATAATTTCCTCTCCCACAACATTTACATTGTTGTCCACATTCTCATTTTTGGATTCGACGAACGAAACATCTTCCATATTTTTGTCTTCTGCAAAATGTAAATGCTATATGTCATCAACTTATATTAGAATCTGAGTAAACATGTAGCTCATTTTAGTGGATATTTATATCATGGTTCCAAAATTTGATCACAGAAAATATTAGGGCAGAAGTCCAGTATACTTGGTTAACTAAATGAACAAATGAATGAACTAATTAAAAAAGAAATCTCACGGTTCAACCAAAAAGATATCAATTTCAATAGTTTTATGAATTTCTTATACTTCATAACTAAATTAATTGATGAAAAAAATTCAATTTCAAGTAAGATTTTAAAAATTGAAAATGTGATTATTTCCTTCTTTCAAATACCACGAAACTCTAACAGCTCAACTCATACCAAGGAATTCCAAGCTATAAAACAAAAGCACCCATACCTTCTTATGTGATGACCGATCATAGTCGGAGATGGAGAAGACAGACAGGAGAAGATAGGTTGGACTGAAGAAAAAAATGGAGGTGCGAGGTCGGACGTGCCGTTGATGCTGGGTCTCTCACTACCTAGCCATTCTTTGGATTTTTGCTACACAATGTTGGGGAAATTGTTGGAGGTTCGCTACCAGTCGTTGGGCGTCGCTGCTGGGTCTCTTGCTACCTGGCCAAAAAAATGTTGGATTTTTGCTGCAAATCGTTCAAGAAAATATTGGATTTTCGCTACAAGTCATTCAAGAAAATGTTGGATTTTTGCAGTGAATATTTTTGGAGTTTTGTTACAGCTGTACGTTGAAGAAGATTGACTATTATTACAGATTTACAGCAGAGTTTCTGATTTTTGACGCTATTAATTCCCACCTCTCTCTTTAAAATCACAACCGTCCAAATGCAATTTATCTTGGCCGCACACGTGTATTTGTCAACCTATTTTGTAAACTTCCTTTGTACAAGAAGCATTATTGTTGTCACTTTTTGAAAAGGTGTCCCTATGATATGATGGTTGGCTTTTGTAAAAGGAATAAGAAAGTTATGCTTAGCCATTGTTTGATCCCTGTTTTGGAAAAAATAATGCATTTTAAATAGTAGATTGATAGAGAATGTATAGTTAAAAACTAAAGAAAAGTTCTGAATTTGTATATAATATTTTTTTATTGAAAAATGTATGATCGAAAATGAGTTTTGAATAAAAATATTTTAGATGAATGAGAATCAAATAAGGGCTAATTCTTAAAAGAAGAATGTATTTCCATCATACCCATTAAATGCTAACTTAAAGATCGATAGTTCAAATGTTGAACTTGACATTTAGTAATTGTCGAGATAGACATTTAAACTGTTTGTCTTATTGATTTTGCCGACAATGAATAAGCACAAATATGCACAAAAAATACCTAATAAATTAGATATATAAACGTTCTTACCTTTAAGAGCACCGTGATTTATTTCAAGATTTTTTAGTTCTCTCTTCTTCACCAAAACTTGCCTAGTGGAAGAATTAATTTTAGCCAACTGTGTCATTAACTCAATTAATTGACTCACCTAATTAGTGAGGAAGTCAATCCGGTTATTAAAATCTTGATTTTTATTTCTATTTCTATTCAAGAATTTATAACACCTAAGCCCAATATATCCTAACTCACCACAATTAAAATAAGTAGTGATAAACGTAGGACCAAAGTTACGTGGTCCCTGATTCTACTCCTAGGTCGAAATGACCTATGCTGTCTAGTAGGCTTCTATTACGCTTCACATTATAAGGCTCCAAATATCTTACGTGGCAAGCAAACGTGAGGTACCACATGTGCGTGTCAAATTGTTACGGGGCAGTTTTAAACGAACCCCCTTAAAAGGCTAAACTAATGTGTTTACAGATCCTGTTGGATTATATCGACCGCATTGGGAAGTACCAAACCCGAATCACAGGAGGGAGGCCATGAGAGGAGCTTGGCATGAGATCTTTCAAGCAATCATTGGTATGTTATTAATGTGACAATTCATTCTGTCGTCTCCATTTCCAGCTAACCAGGTCAAGTCTAGAGCTACAAGCTAGGCATTATGAACAATAAAAATTTTACTAGCATTTAGTGCTTATTATTGATTGATGTCTCCGATAAGAGGTACCGGCTGCATGAATGAGGCCATATACCTCTTCATCTATTGACTCTTATTCATCTTTTTCCTACTATAAAAGCTCACATTCAGTGCCATTTCAAAGAAATGCAACTTTCGATTCTCAAGCTATAACTTCACCATATTACTGTCTTTTTTATTACTCTTAAAGCTGACCTGCTTTTACATGGGAAACTTATATCTAAAGCTTTCCCAGGCTCATATATATACTTTTCCAATTGACTTAACCATTGAAGTATGCGAAGCAAATTCCACCCCATTGGAAGAAGCCACGTATGGCTAATAATTTATCCAAGTGTGTAGAAATTAGGCTTGTATGGACGTGAGAAGCCTTAAGATCTGTTGACCATGCTGGAGATATAAAATTCAAGGTCAACAATTTTAGTAATATTTTGTACATTACAATGATAACATTCATTGTTTATGTTATATTATCATTTGGATTTTTAACTATTGCACATTTATTTTGAAGACAAAACCATTCAACGACATTTCAAAAGTATTAGATATCATTAAATATATACGGGTTTATAGTCGATCTCAAAAGATGTGCCCTGACTTTCTCGATAGTTCGTCGTAGTTGTATACCAAACTAGACCAACCTCAAGCAAACCGATTGATCGGACACACAGTCGCCCCATTGCTAAATCCTCCACCATGGCCAACTATACTTTTACAACAAGGAAACCTCAAACCCTCTTCCAACACCATTCTAGGCTTGTCAACGAGTCAAGTCGAGTCGGCTCACGAGCCAAAACTCGAGCCTTGGGCTCGACTCGAGTAAAATGGTTTGAACTTTTTGCAAGTCCGAGCCTTGTCAAGGCCAAGAAATCTAGGCTTGGCTCGAACTTCTAGCTTGAGCCTTATCGAGCCAAGCCAACTTGTGAGTGTTTTTTTTTTATTTACAATTCTAACATTTTTTTTAAAAAAAAAATTAAATTTTTACGAATTATAAATTAAATAAAAGTTACAACCTTCATTTTTTGGGGATTGCGATTGGCTACAATCAATGTAGACGAAGTTAAAATTATACATGAATAAAAATATTTCGTTTACAATTTTTCATGAGACAAATAAATTTAAAAAATTATGTGTATCGTAGCCAGTTGGAGTACTTGAACTACCCTTAAACTCATTAATCTCATAATTAGTAAAATCCATATATATTCTATAATAATTATAACATATTATACTGAATATTAGAGTAAAAAATTGAATATTAGAGCAAAGAAATTAGATATTGTAGTTGAAACTTGAAACTAGAGTACTGCAAATTAAAATTGATTGAAGAAAATAATTGATGTGAAACTGAGAAATTTAACCCATATTTATAATATAAAAAAATCAAACAATTTTGATTCAAATTTGAAATTTGAATTTCAAAATTTTATATAGACAAATTTCTAATCGCTGCCTTAACAGCTGTAAACTTGTCGTTGGTTAAGATTGGTTAATCGGCAGAAAATCTGCTGCCATTTTTAAAAATGTATTTACATCCCTACACCATGCTCAATCCTTTATTTAATATTTTTTCTTTCAATCCTTTTATTTTCAACTTTTTAATAGTTGTGCAAATGATCATATTTAGCTCACGTTTGGTCCCTATTAAATTAAAAGTAAAATTGTAGCAGAGGTCCCTAACCTTTTTATTTTTTGCAAACTTTACCCTAACCATCATTTCGTGCTAGCGAAGATCCCTAACCTTTCATAAATATGCACATGAAGTTCATTTGGACGGAAACCATCCAAAACACGTCAATTGACCGGGAACATTCCTTGAACTATTTACTACCGCGAGGATTTTATTGGATATTGATACCTTTTTGAACAATATTTTTGGACGATTTTATTCAATGTTGATTCCTTAAATTTCTCGGTCAACTGACGGTGTTTTGGACGATTTTCATCCAGATGAACCTCAAGTGTATATTTATAAAATGTTAGGAACATTCGCTAACACAAAATAAAGGTTAGGGTAATGTTTACAAAAAATGAAAATGTTGGAACTGCTGCTGCAATTTCCCCTTAAATTAAATTTCATTTTTCTCTTTCCTATTTTCAATCACACAATCTTCTATAAAATAATATAATATGTAAATCGAAAAATTTTCCTTCTTTTTCGACCACTTATATATATATATATATTATTCCATCTGTTTTTATTTGGAAAAATACGGGCCAAACGGGTGCTTATAGGAACTTTTTGATCATTTTTTTTGTGTTGGATTCTCTAACTATTGTGTTTGAAGTCATCACTAAGTCCAATTTCCAAGTTTCTTGTTGAGGTTTGTGATTTTGAAACACTTATCATGCAATTCATACACACACATGATTTTATTAAACTAAAGTCCTTTTCATTGTGCAAGGATTTGCACCTATACGACGTAGTCTATGTTCAATATCGAGCTAATGACTTTAATTCCATTGTTCGGACAAGGTTTCCAATTGACTATTAGCTAAGTGATTGAGGGTCTTTATTCCTTTGGTAAGGAGAGGCTCAAGGGCTGAGGCTCATGTCTGTCACACTCCGAAAATTGAGATACAAATATTCATTTTCAACGTGGGCATACAATAGACCCCTTTAGTAGCTAATATGGAGTCTTGATAGATAATAATTATTTTAACACATAATATAGGTCAAATCTCGAAGATATAAATCTCAATAAATAAACTATCGTTTTTAGTAGTGTAATCCTTGTACTTTTATCAAACACGGCTACACAATAGATGAGGCTTTAAGGTTTTAAGCCAATTCTTATCCATTCAATAGATATTATCCCAATGATAATTGAACTTTCAATCATTGTTTTCTTTACTCACCGAAATTTAAAATATTTCTTCACTTGCCCTTAAACTCAACACGCTTTCTCAAATCACAACTTATGTCTCACTCCATTTGGAAATTAAATTTGTTCATGATAACCTATATAGAGGCTAGTTATCCATCGTCACGAAACTTCATCGTTGATACTAAATTTAATTTTTTTTTTCTCAAATGTTATTAAAACTAACATATGCTTTCTCCTTTCGTCAACTTGTCTAACCTAATTCAGAAGATTAACATTGTTGATGGCATGGCAAGCAAATCATGATGATTTCAACATAGTGTTTACTAAATTTGAAGTGAGCTATGTGAAATGGATAGCATACCTAGGGTTGCACAAAAGAACTGCGAAACAACAAATCGAACCGAAATCGTTTGGTTCGAGTACACGTGGACCTGCAGTTTCTTTTTCCTCAAACCAAACCAAACCATTTCAAAATGGTTTGGTTTAGATTTTAATTTTCAAAAATCGCACAAAATCAAACCAAACCATTTTTAAATTTTTTAATTAAAATATTAGTTTTATTAATTTAAAAATTTTACAGTCTTCAATTTTCAAAAAAATATCAATTTAACAATACAAATTACAATTAGCCAATTGAAATACTCATAGAAAGTAAGTTAGGTTCATCATTATTGACATATGATTTAACAGGTTCGCAACACAAGTCCTTACCCGATATCTAAACTAAACTAAAATTATTTCAAAATCATATGAAATGAAAAAAAAAAAAAACATATATTTTCAACAATCCAAATCATATTCAACAAAACTAAGTTAGCAAATCACGTCCAAAGTTTCAAATGCCCTAACATAAACTCTCATTTCCTTAACATTTGATACTTGTCCGCCACAGCTGAATAAATCATGAATCGCCTTTGCCTGTTAATCGACTAATCTCTACTTGAATCGCCTCTTTCTTTTTTCTTTTTCAGTAAGTCTTAGATTCTTATTCAAGCTATTTTTCATTGTTCTTTCTTTTATTTTTTATTTTTTGAACTTATTATACACATGCGAATTGTGGTTTGGATAGAAAAATGATTGTTTGTGTGCCAAAATGATTAATGAATTTGTTTGTGATTTGGAAAGAATGAAGGATGTGACGTATTGATTGTGTGAAAATGTTAAAGATCCCCAACTAGTATTATTACTTTCTACTTTCATAAAGTAGTTAAAGGATGAAATTCGTCAATTATATCAATATTTGTACATTTAAACATATTCCGTTCAATCCTTATTTAACATCTCACTAGAAAGACGAAAGGAGTTTTAGCCAAACTATAATAATAGAATATAACTCTACCTTTATCAACCGTTATATGATAATATAAATGTCAAATAAGAAAAAGTAAATAAAAATGAAGAAAGATGTATTTGTTCTATCAGTATCTCATAACAACCAACTTTGAAAACATGAATGTAATTTAACATTTAACATTATTAGTTTTCGTTTAAATTTATATTTAACTTATGTTAAATACATTACTATAATGTCGAAAGGTAAATCGCAGATTAAAACCGAAACAAACCGCAAATTATGGTTTGGTTTGGTTTGAAATTTTTTCAAACCGCATAAAATGGTTTGAGTTGAAAATATAGCACAAACCGTTCAAACTTAACCACGTTACGCCCAATCAAATGTTAGAAATATAAATCTCAATAGATAAATGGCTTCTTTTTTTTCTTTTTAGAAAAATTGCCTCGTCATATTTCTTTCCTACGGATTCAGGATTTATCCTTTGAATTTTGGCAAACACAACTCTATATTTCGATTATTTCTGGAAACAAAAAGTTTATATAGAGACATGATTGTCAAAATTCAATGAATATATCGTGAATCTGCAAGGAGGTAATAGAAACCTTTTACTTTTTAATAGAAATCAATTTTCGAATTCTTTACTAATTCCAACAATAATTTACTATTAGCTGTTGAAAATTAAATAGGGGTAAATTAGAAAATTTCTTGGCAAAAATTACCTCTTCAAAACATTAAATAAGATTTTTTGATCCGTGTGAAAAATAAAACAGGCCTATATAAATGGGAATGATGAAGTATATTAACAATTAATTTTAATATATTAAATGTAATAGAAAAAGATATCTCATTTATATTATTTCATCATTACAAGAAATTTGAATAATAGAAATTGGGTTTTAACTTTTAAGAGTACAATTTGAGTACAATTTTCTTCTCTTAAATTTCTATGCTAAATTTTATTTTCTTTAATTCGTCTGATACTCATCATATCTTCTAACAAATTGGTATCAAGTATTACTTTTATATTACTTATAAAGTATTTTAGAATAACGTGCAATACGCGTTCAACTCTGACTAATCTTTTGAATTTTGGCAATCACATATTTCGATTATTTTTGGAAACAAAAAGTTCACATAGAGACATGATTGTCAAAATTCAATGAATATATAGTTAATGGTAATAAAAACCCTTCCCTGTTTCATTAAAAAAAGACCCTTCACTTCCGTGAAGCTTTGTGTCGAAATAAACAATAAATTTCAAGTCAATTCTTATTTGAGTTTTCATTTTAGTTGTCAAAAAGTTAATTTTCAAAGTTTGCATTAATTTTAAGTACACACTTAGTAAGATTCACGAGTAACACCTACACATTCGCCAGTCAATGCTATAAACTTACAATTTTAACAACTAAAATGGAAATTCAATCAAAGGGAAAGGATATAGGGACTATTTCACAAATCTTTTAAAATTTTAACAAAATTTTTATTAAAAATGCACTTAATTCCATATTCACGGGATTTTAGATTTGATGTGCAAGACTCAGGTTGGCTCCATGTGGTACATCCGATTTTAAACACCCACCCGTTGAGCGATAGGCCGTTCACCTCAACCCACGTGACACATGTTACTATTTGGATATTCAAAGTACAACATACCAAATGTATTCCTCGCATCACAATAAAAAATGAAGAATAATGTTATTTACCATCAAATAGTACTAGAATATCAATGTAGATGATTACATTTTATAAGTTTAATTAAATGAGTTACTTGACTTTACATTTAAATGAATATATAATTTAATATCATGTAACTGGTGCTTAATACTAATGATAATGAATAACAATACTCGTAAAAAAATAAAAATACTATGTCTGTCCCATAAAAATAGTTTTGATGTTCTTTTTCTTCCGTCCAAAATTATATTTTATTTTCTTTATTGAAAGTATAAATATTTTTAAATAAATATTTAAATCAATATTTAATATAGATTTATATTTTCAATAATATTAATTATATTTTTTAATTCGTGTAAAAATAAAAATAAGACTTTTTATAGGACAAATGTACTACTAGAAAAATGAACTTGGACCGTTATAGAAGAATTAAACTAGGTCATCAGAAAATATTTGACATGCAGATTGATATCCTCTCACATGTGTTGGAACCCACGCAGTACCCATATGAATTAAAAATGACAATAAATTCTCCACCCCCTCCTATTGTGAGGGAGGCCCAGCGAGGTTGGTTACAGAATGGCCCAATTTGTGATGTGTTGTTAGTAGTATTATTGTTCCACTCACCCGTCGGTTGGTCGGTGTGTAGTTGGAGATTTCTTAGTCTTCAAACAATTTAACGTTATTTTTATGCTACAGCCTATATATGTAAGAAACTAACCATAGTCCATAAACCATACTTATATTATAAAATATAAATTCATTAGACAATGTTTTAGTAAGGCTTATTGTTATTTGGATTGATATTAAGCACTCGCTTGACCCATTAAATTTCATCAAATTAAATTAAAATTTTCAATCACACAATTTTCAATAAAATAATTTTACACGTAAATTGAAAATTTTTCATTCTTTTACAATAATTCATTTTTCAAAAAAACATTATTCCTCCCATTATAATCAAAATTATTGGTGGCCAAATGGGAGATTACTCAATAGATAGTCAGGATGTTTGTCTAGAAACGATCACCCTTGAAAGAATGCGTAATAGCTCACTGATTAGACAATTAGATATTTAGCTCATGTTTGTCTTTCATGTTTTGAAATTTATTTTTTAATCAATTTTTATTTAATTCTATTAAAAACTTGATTTTTACTTAAATTGAATAGGGAAATGAGAGATACATTCACATGTTTAACACAATTATTGACATTAATTTGGAGCAATTATAGCCCCATTTGGTTTCGATTCTTTGGCCACAAAAATAAAAAACATAATCGTTATCCATCAAATCATGTTATCATATTTAACTTTTTATCTCTTATATGAGTCCCGTAACGATTATATTTTTCATTCTCATTTTTAAATCTATAGAAATCAAACGAAGCCTATATTCAATATTACAGAATTCCATTTAGTGTTTGTTTGTGTCCTATTATTTGTGTGTCATATATTGATGTTGAAATACGTGGTTAAAAAATAAGAAATTTTTTTAAATTTAAATTTAATATTATTTTAATGAAAAATGTGTGATTAAAAATGAGTACCGTAGAAAAAATATAATAAAATGTAAAAAATTGGTAAACAAACAAAGCCTACGCATTAACTTTGTTTATAATCAAATAATCAATAAAATAATTAAAAACTTAAAGCACACTGGAATGCTGATTGCTATCTCTCGCCGCAAGATCCCTCTCTCTCTCTCTCTGTCTCTCTCTCTCTCTCTCTCTCTCAATCTGTGCATACTCTTGGGTCACTTTGCCTCCTCTTTAAAGTGTTCGATATACACCAAGAGTGTGAGTCGCAATAGCAGTCCTGGTTTTAACGGAATGCTTTAGATTCTGCACAGAGTGTTAAGAGATGTTTGGTTTTTTTCTCGGAAAAGATGTCAGGAAAATTCTCAAGCGAAAGGATAGTGACGCTGGCGAAAGAGGTAAATCACTTTCATTCTTTTCCCCAATTTCTTTTGCTTTTATTAGCAATGATTTTCCACATTTTGTTTTTGAGAAAATATGTAAAGGAAAGACCTTTCTTGCAGACGTCCTGTTTTTAATTTCCTGATAACCATGGAAAATCTCTTCGATCTAATAAGAAAAAAAGAATGGACTTTGAGAAAAAAAGATTACCTTTTCAAGTAATGTAGTACTGAAATCGTATTTTGATTATTGTAAAACTGGAATCAAGCTAGGATTTTTTCTTGCTGGACACCCGATGAAAGATTATTGATAATATTTTCTGGATTTGCAAATTAAGTAATTTCATAAAATTGAAAGCAAATATATAGTAACAGATGCATATATAACTTGTACACTTTCACTGCTAGAATCTGTCGTAAAATATCTGAGAGGATCTTGGCAAATAATCATATTTACTACGAACCTAATCAAGTAATAATATAGGAGAAATGGTCAATACATTTGTCGTTGCTCTTTGGGATTACATGAATGCTAATTTTAATTCAAATTCTTGTATTTTACCTTGGTATTGAAAGATTGCTGTAACTGTCAAACTAAATTTTAATGTGAAGGGCCATTGCAATTTTACATTTCATGTGCATATGGGTTTAGTCATCATTGTAAAATAATTTCATGTCTTAAATTCTAAATTGACATTTAGACAATGACTGTAAAGCATGTTTTAGTTAGTCTTGCAATTGATATATGCATTAATATTTTGATTTTTATTAATGCTGTGTCTTTAAGGCATCTTTGCAATATTTTGCTAAATTAGAATAGTTATTAACGTAGCAGAAGATTATAGGGAAGATGAACAATCACAAAATGAGAAAACTCTCAAGAAAATTTTTATTGAATCCAAGAACTGCCGCCTCAAAGGGCTTACAACGCCTTAAATAGAAAAAAACCTAGCAAAATTCGGAAAATAGAATAAAAAAGATATTTTTTTCAAAAATAGAAAAATATGAGATAACTATTAAGATGGAAAATCCTTATCTTCAGGATCATCATCCAACAAACGGAATACAAATCCGAATTTTATGAAAAGAGATATTACAAAAATAAAAATTACCATAAATAGCAAAAACGCCTAAACGAGAGCCTAAACGATGGATTTTGCCCAAAATTGGCCTTGTGTAAGGGCCAAAGGCGCTAAGTTTTATTCATTGGCTCGATTCCAATCGAATTAGACTAGCGATTCGCCAAAAACGAACAAACCCGAAGTTATCATAAAATAAAAAACCTTTATTTTGCCTTGCGACGGCGACGGTTCCATTTCATCATTAACTCTAATCCCTTATGCACTTCATCATTCTCCCCAAGGTGGGAAAAATTCGCCCTCGAATTTGACGGGAAATGAGCTTTATCATCATCAGAATTATCACCACGAAATAGCACCAAATGCTTGATATTGAACACGTCAGATGCACGAATATGGCTGGACAGCTTCAAACGGTAAGTATTCGAATTGATATTCTCAATGACCTCCAATGGATCAATTTTCTTTGCAATAAGCATGTTGTATTCATGAGCAGGAACACGATCTTTTGTTAACATCGCCCAAATAAAGTCACCTACCTCAAATTTAACGTGTTGGCGTTTAAGATCCGCAGCACGCTTATACTCAGTGATAGCAGCCTGCAACTGATCATGAGCCTGTGAGTGAACTTGCTGCAATTGCTGAATAAAGTCTTCGGCCTTACCATGCATTTTAATAGAAGTAGAAACTGGAATTAGATCAAGAGAATCACGAGGAACAAGGCCATATACCACCTGGAACGGATTAAAACCTGTACTTCGATTAACATCATGATTGTGAGCAAATTTTGCTTGACACAACTTTTGATCCCAAGACTTGATGTGATCACCAACCAAGCAATGTAGTAAATCACCCAACGAACGGTTAACAACCTCTGTTTGACCATCTGTCCGAAGGTGATATGCACTGCTGAAGTCCAACCGTGTATTCACTGAGCTCCATAAGCTACGCCATAAGTGGCTGAGGAAATGAGTATTCCGATCAAACACAATAGATATAGGCAGTCCATGCAAGCGATAAACCTCACGAAAATACAGTAAGGCCACATTGACAGCATCTGTAATCTTCTTGCAGGGGATGAAATGTACCATCTTTGAAAACCGATCAACCACTACGAAGATCGAATCAAACTCACGTTGAGTCTTGGGGAGTCTCATAACGAAATCCATGCTCACGTTTGTCCAAAGCTGGGTTGGAATAGGCAGCGGCATATACAGGCCCGCATTTGTCGCCTTGCCCTTGGCCAAGTGACAAACCTGACAACGCTCCACAAACTTGCCTATATCTTTGCGCAATGATGGCCAAAAGTAAGAAATAGCAACAAGCTGCAATGTTTTGTCACAACCCACATGGCCCCTCATTATGCAACTTTTGAATCATCTTTAACCTTAAACTGCCCTCTGGAATACACAACTGATTGCCATGGAAAAGAAAACCATCAACCCATGCAAACTCCGACTGCACACCCTCCTACAACTTCTGAATAACATGGGAAAGGTATGGGTCAGTAACATATAAGTCACACAAACTGTCAAAACCTAAAACTTCCAATCGCATTTCTATAAGGAGAGTTTGGCGCCTACTCAATGCATCTGCAATTTTGTTAAGGGCACCTGCCTTATATTTAATCACAAAAGTAAACTGTTGTAAGTAAGCAATCCAAGAGGCATGTCGAGTAGATACCTTATCCTGAGTATCAAGGTGTTTAAGGGCGTCATGATTCGTGTACAAAATGAACTTATGGACCAAATAGTGACGCCAATGTCGAACGGCCTGGACTATTGCATAGAACTCCACATCATAAGTACTATACCGAGACTTCGGGTCAGAAAGCTTCTCACTGAAATATGCAACAGGGCGGTTGTTTTGACTCAGCACACCACCAATACCCACTTTCGAAGCATCACAATGTAGCTCAAATGGTTGGGTAAAGTTAGGCAACACCAAAATTGGAGTAGTAGTCAACTTGTGCTTAATCAATTGGAAAGACGACTCTGCCTCGTGAGTCCACTGAAACCTACCATCCTTCATGCAATCTGTAATTGGTGCCATGATGCTACTAAAATTTGGTATGAACCTGCGATAAAAGGAAGCAAGGCCATGAAAACTCCGCACCTCAGTGACAGTCTTGGGCTGTGCCCACTGACTTATCGCCTCTACTTTAGATGTATCAACTGCTAACCCCGCCTTCGACACCATATAACCCAGGAACGCCACACTATCATTAAGAAATGAACACTTCTTCACTGCAGCATAGAATTTATCCTTGCGAAGAACTGAAAGAACTTCTCGAAGGTGCTCGACATGATCATCATCGTTAGCACTATAAATTAATATATCATCAAAGTAGACCACAACAAATTTGCCGATGAATGGGCAAAGAGCCTGATTCATAACCCACATAAACGTACTGGGCGCATTTGAGAGGTCGAAGGGCATGACTAACCACTCGTACAATCCTTCCCTCGTCTTAAATGCGGTTTTCCACTCATCCCCACGTCTGATCCGAATCTGATGGTACCTACTCTTCAAACCAAGCTTGCTAAACACACAAGCACTAGTAAGCTAGTCCAACAAATCATTCAGGCGGGGAATAGGAAAGCGGTAACGCTCCATAATCTTATTGATTGCCCTATTATCCACGCACATACACCATGTGCCATCCTTCTTCGGTGTGAGAAAAGCAGGAACAGCACAAGGACTAAGACTCTCCCTGATGTGTCCTTTTGCTAGAAACTCCTCAACTTGCCTGCGCAACTCCTCATGTTCAGTGGGGCTCATTCTGTAATGCGCTCAGTTAGACAGGGCAGCACCAGGCACCAACTCAATCTGATGCTGAATATCCTGCAGTGGTGGTAATCCATCTGGAAGCTCTTCTGGGAAAACTTCATGAAACTCCTTCAGCAAAATGGCTGAACTGCGAGAGGGACTTCATGCTCACTATCAATTGACTTTCCAACTAGCACATACACTGCTCCAGACTCCTCCATCTCTGTCTCGAACTTCTTTCTGGTCAGTAAATTGGTGTTGTTCCCAACTGTTTGTACTGACCCTTATTCGGTAGTAACACAATTTTCTTTCCCCTAAACAGAAAGCTGTATATGTTGGTATATCCATCATGCAGTGAGTGCTTGTCAAACTGCCACGACCTCCCTAACAGTAAATGACACGCATCCATCTCTACTGCATCACATAAAACCTGATCCTTGTAGGTAGGTCCAATGGAGAAGCTGATTTGAGTACGTTGAGACACTTCTACATCATTGTTCCTTTTCAGTCAGGCTAATTTATACGGTTTGGGATGTTTCTTAGTCTGCAAACCCAGCTTCTTAACGACCTCCTCAGCCACCACATTCTCGCAACTACCAGAATCAATAACAAATTTACATGTCTTCCCTCTAACAGTACATGTCGATTGAAAGATATTATTACGCAACCAATCAGTGTTATTCTCCAAGGGAATCAGGAAACTCCTCACCACCAGTGCCTGACCCACATCACCAACCACAAACTCTTCATCTCCTGTTGCTTCTTCTACCCTTTCATCGTCAAATACAGGCGGACCTTCATAATCGCCATCCTCCTCATCAACAAAAAGTCCCCTATGCGGATTTTTGGGGCACTCAGACTGCCTATGGCCTGTAACTCCGCATCCAAAACAGCGAGTACCAACCCCAGGACGTGTTGGTTGTTGGACAGGATTTGTTCTAGGAGGACCAGATTGAGCAGGATTACCAGGACGTGTCACCTGCTGTTGTGGGTTACTGGAAGAACTCCCTACAATGAAAGGACCAGTAGTTCTCCTGGATTATTGCTTCTCTATCTATATTGCCCTCTGATGTGCTTCAGAAACTCTCACAGGATCAAACATATTGAGAGTATCCTGTATTTGGGGACGAAGACCACCCACGTACTGTGACACCAACTGCTCCTCCGTCTCCATCATCTCGTTCCTCGTAATCAACATATAAAAATCCGTGGTATAATCACTAACCGTTTTTCCACCTTGACGCAGATTCTGTAGTTGTTGGTACATGGTCTGTACATAATTGTAAGGCAGAAACTGTTTCTTCATATGCTTCTTCAATTTGTCCCACGATGCAAGCTTGGGTTTTCCTAGCATGGATCTCGTCATCTTAGTCTGCTGCCACCACGCCGCTGCTCGCCCACGAAGCCTCGTCGCAACGAGAGGCACACATTTATCGACAGGAACCTCTTTAAACTCCAAGATCTCCTTCGCTGCAGTCACTCAATCGAAGAATTCCCCTGAACTCAACCCACCATGAAATTCTGGAATATCAACCTTAAATCCTAATTCCCAACGTTGGTTGTCCTCCTGACCACCCCTTCTCCGGCGAACTGGCAGATCCAATGTTGGTCAAGCGGTGCAAACGGATTTTCATCATCGAAATCCTCAAGCTGTTGGGCTATAGGCACAGGCTACTACGGTTTAAGCACAGCGATCTGCTGTGTCAGCAATTCCACTTGTTGACGTAGCTGTGCGATTTCATCACGTCTATGTATCTCCTCTACTGGGGCATCACGGGCTTCAGGACGTCTCCTTGGCGGCATGGTGAAGGAACGAACCTTGTTCTGATACCAACTGACGTAGCAGAAGATTATAGAGAAGATGAACAATCACAAAATGAGAAAATTCTAAAGAAAATTTTTATTGAATTCAAGAACTGCCGCTTCAGAGGGCTTACAACGTCTTAAATAGAAAAAAAACCTAGCAATATTCGAAAAATAGAATAAAAAAGATATTTTTTCAAAAATAGAAAAATATGAGATAACTACTAAAATGGAAAACCCTTATCTTCGGGATTATCCTCCAATAAACGGAATACAAATCCGAATTTTATGGAAAGAGATATTGCAAAAATAAAAAAAAAATCATAAATAGCAAAAAGCCTAAACGAGGGCCTAAATGATGGATTTTATCCAAAATTGGCCTTGCGTCAGGTCCAAAGGCGCTGAGTATTATTCATTGGCTCGATTCCAATCAAATTAGACTAGCAATTCGTAAAAAACAAACAAACCCGAAGTTATCATGAAGTCAAAAACCATTATTTTGCCTTGCGACGGTCCCATTTCATCATAAACTCTAATCCCTTATGCACTTCATCAGTTATTTACTTAATTCTCGATGCTTCTGGGATTGTCAAGAGAAAAACATTCTTTTGGGTTATCTTTGAAGGATTTTGTGGCCGTGTTCTACAATGTTATTGATGAATCCTACTCATCTTTTAGGTAGAGCAATGGAGGAATTGCGTGCTTCTGTGTTTAGCAAATTACGGTCATTCGGTGGTGCAAAGCGTCAGCAACAATCCTTGTTGGGGCCCACTGTTGCTCTCACTTTCAATTTTTTCGTTTCTGTTAGTATTATTTTGATGAACAAATTGGTAATCTGCTTACCTTTTCCTCCTACATTTGCTTTGTGCAGCTGTGACATTAAATAGGTTCTGACCTTTATTTCCTTTTTGATATTCAGGTACTTGTCAATGTTGGATTTAATTATCCAATTTTCTTGACTTTTATTCACTATATATTTAGTTGGATGATAATGGCTTTGCTAAAAGCTCTGTCAATCCTTTCTCTATCTCCTCCATCAAGGGCAACAAAGTACTCTTCATTGTTGTCGCTCGGTATAGTCATGTCTCTCTCCACTGGCCTTGCAAATGTTAGCTTGAAATATAATAGGTGAGATATTATTAGCTGCTATTTTTTATTATTTTATCTCTTATATTTTGATTCTAATTATTAGTATCTTTATTTTCCAGTGTTGGGTTTTATCAGATGGCTAAGATTGCCGTGACACCAGCAATTGTTTTAGCTGAATTCATTCTCTTCCACAAAAAAATTTCAGTGCAGAAGGTAATATCTGATACTAAGTGAGTAACTTGGTTATGCAACCAGAATCTAGATTATTTTGACACCTATTCCTTAGCCGTGGTCAGTATATTGTATGCTACTGACTTAAGGGCACTTCAATTCTTAAATTTATGAGGGTTTTTTTACTTGATTATATAATGCTGGCATTGTTCATCTCTATAGTCATGCAATAGGTTACCATTACGAGTCTCCGGATACAAATGCCTGTAGCACGTGTGGTGTTATATTTTGCTCCATATTTCTCTTTCTACGCATTTGATTCTTACAATGGCACTTTTAGGTGCTTGCGCTTACCGTGGTATCAATTGGTGTTGCTGTTGCTACGGTGACCGATCTTCAATTTCATTTTTTCGGTGCTTGCATAGCAGTAGCATGGATAATACCGAGTGCAGTTAATAAAATACTTTGGTCCAATCTACAACAAGAAGAAAACTGGACCGCCCTAGCGTAAGTCACATGCATCTAAAGGATTTTCTGTTTGGTTCATTCTGCTATTGACCAAACTAACTGTAGAGTTAGAATTTCATGTGTCTTTGCCAAATTGACAGGTTAATGTGGAAGACCACACCTATTACTTTATTCTTCCTTGTGATGTTGATGCCATCACTTGATCCTCCTGGTGTCCTGTCTTTTAATTGGAACCTCTATAACTCTTCAATTATTGGTGGTTCGGCTATTCTTGGTTTCTTACTTCAATGGTCCGGTGCCCTAGCACTCGGGTATGCATGTTCTGCTTATATTTTTTTAATTTTGCTTCTTTTCCTTACAAGCAATTTCTTTGAAGATTTTTTTTTTTTTTTTTTTTTTTAATTTTTTTTTTTTTTCTTACAAAAAATTTTTTTTAAAATTTTTTTTTTTTTTTTTTTTGGGAATCTTGTTTTTAACTGTAGTTCCATTTAAACTTGTGTAAAATGTGGGATTCTTATGCCGAAAACTAGCTGAGGTCTAGTGTGCTTGGTATACACTCTAAAATCAAATTTTCTGCTGGTGAGGGTCTATCCATGAGTTACTGAAATTCTAGAAAGGAATGGACAATTTGTGTAGTGGAAATTCATGGAGTCACAAGATTCCTTAGTACTAGAGCCTCTCACAGAGCATTCAATGATTTCAGAAACAGTGCTAATGAATTTTATGAAGTATAACACTACCACTTTTGAAACAAATAATTATTAATGCAATAAAAAGTTCCATATGGATTCATTTAGATATCCCCATTCACCATTTTAGTTAAGGTACTGGAAAGATAAAACTTGGATGCTGGTACTGATATTATTATTATTATTTTTTATTTTTTTTATTTTTTGGGGAATGCGAATAGTTTGTATTTGAATTCCCCGTCTTTGGAGAATGTACCTTCTACACACAATAATTTGAACCTTAATCTTAACAAATGTCTCCTAACAATATTGTAAGCTTATAGCCTAATGGATAAGTGATTAAGGGGCTTAAAATTAGCTTGTTGGAGCAGAGATCAAGTTCACGTGCAACAAAATGGAAAAAAAACTCAAAGATGCTGAAAAGAGGGGTTTGTCTATTCATTCGGTTGCGATTTTGAGCGAGTTTTCTGGAGACATTTTATGTGATGTCGAGCAGTTTAGTTGATTTGCATGATACTCGAACGTCTATAGCATAACATGCAGAGCCAAAATATTTTACAAGCTTTATGGTGTCTAGAAAATTAAACTCATCACACTTGTTGAGCCAATCTTGAACAAGTCACTTGGTATTGACTTAAGCATGCCAAGGACTAAATTTGAACAAGTTAGGGTAAAGTCGATCTTTGATGAGGAGGTATATAATCTGACTTTCTGTTGATGTTTGGAACAAGAATAACCAAAACCTGAAAAATATGAGGAAAGATCCGTTCTTTTTACTTCAAAAACTCAGCCCAACTTGAAATTGATTGCATATGTTTTCTCATAGTTAAGTACTAAATTGCTTGGTACTCCTTCTCACAGGGCAACCTCTGCTACCACCCATGTTGTTCTTGGACAATTCAAAACTTGTGTCATTCTTCTTGGGGGCTTTCTTCTCTTTGGTTCAAATCCTGGAACAACTAGCATTCTTGGAGCAGCCACAGCTCTTGTTGGTATGTCATTCTACACTTACCTTAACTTGCATTCAAAGCACCAGTCAGCCAAAAGTTCTTCGCGACAATCTTCATTCTCAATATCAAAGTCGAAGCTCGGGAAAGAAAATGGTGAGAGCCATGATGGAGGTGGTGGAGAGGAATGTGTCTAGTAGACTGGTGACATGTTTGGTAAAGTGGAATAGATACTAGACTGCATTAAAAGAAGTTAACAGCTTATCTATTAAATGGTTCAGTGAAAAGGGTATTTTATTTGATCGATTTTACTAACCTTGGACCAATATAGATTCTACCAGCTTCACCACCCCCGCGAGATTCAAGTATTCTGCTGATAATTTTGTATGAATATTTTAGGAAAGGCTTCTATACGCAATTTACAAATTTTTAGTTGCTTCAAATGCTCACAGAAAAATGTACACTGCCACACCTTTTTGTGTTAAACATATTTTATTGCTGATAACTTCAATGTCAAAATTCTTTTATTTCATTTATATACACTGCTGCATATGATTACACAGGAGGGATAAATATTTACAATTGATATATCTGTCAAATTATTAGAGCTGTATTCATATGATACACATTTTCTACACGAACGATAATAGTTTTTGATGGACTTGACAAGGTAAACATTTTACGCAATAAAATGCTAAATGAACTTCATGATGGATTTTCACAAGAATTTTGCTATTTGTACACAAGCGGTTGACTCACCCAATAAAAAAAAATGCGTGGACCCCCCTCTTGTGAGGGGAGTGTACACGAGCATGTCCGTGTTCGTATAGCAAGGTTCTTTTCACGAATGTTATTGGATGTACAACATGTACACCTAAGCCAAATGCCTTCAATGTTAACGAATAGTAGAGGATCTAACTAGAGTCTTGACATCAATTCTCGAGATCGGCTAACAAAATTAATCATAGGTCACCTCGACTCGGACTGTTGAATGAATGAGATCATGTAAGTGTGACACATTGCTATCAAACATTTTGCTTTAGACTACCTGACAAATTTTCGACCATTCACGCCACTTTCTTAACAAGGATTTGAGTGGGCCCTAAAACGGAACACAAACACATTCTTTGATGGATTGCTTTCATATTGGTGTCTTTCAACCTTTCAACGTACAAATATAAGGGCTCGTTTGGCTAATTTTATGAAAGTATTTTTAGTTAAAAAAGTTTTTAGAGAAAGCTGGTGGTCCAATGTGGCTTAATTTAAAAACACTTTTGAAATGTGAAGCTCTTTAATAATTAATTTTGAAATAAAAATTAAGATAACTTTCTTCAAAAGTTCTTCTACATGAATCAAAACTAGAAGTAGAAGCAAAATGCATACCAAATGAGCCAAAATTAATTCATAAATTGATAATTATTGGAAACGAATGATATGCTAAATCTTTTAACGAAAGGAAAGAGCATCAAACGCAAAGACAAAACAAGAGAAACTGGGAAACCTTTCATAATGTAAGAAGAAAGAGCAATTCTAAAATCGCTTAGTTCACAAGCTAATCTTCATAATTATATAGAAATTGACAAGGAAGACTAAAAAAAGTCATTTCAAAAGGAATCCTGCAATCCAAGTATACTTGATGAAGAGTACAAAGCAGGAAAGTAATATGAAACTTGATTCAGCAACCATACTTCCACTAAATGGTTACTAAATAAAATCAAAATCAACGTAAAAATATCCTTCGTTTAAAATTTGAATGATCACTAGCTCAAAGTTCTTCGTTTTCTGTCGTAGCAATGCCTAGAAGTTTGGCCAGTTCTCCATTTTCATATGCTTCGACAGTATCTGCAATCAGTAACTCAATTGTTACACAAGAAATGTATGATTAGACAATTTATTATACATGTTGCGCATGAGAAATAAGATACCATCAGAGCCCCCCAGATGCTTTCCATTAATGAAAACCTGCGGTACAGTACGCCTACCAACAATCTCGCTTAAGGCATTCTGAATGTTTCCACCATCATCTGCACATATAAACATACATGCTGAGAGAGAGAGAGAGGGAGAGGGAGGGAGGGAGGAACTCTCATACATTAGAAAATTCCCTTTAAATGCATTTTATTAGAAAGTTTGAAACTGTACAACGTTGCCGAAGTTCCAGTATGGGGTAATTCTTTTGAATTCCCACCCA